ACTATAACTGTTATACCAGAGTATGGAAAATAACACTTTGGGATTGCTGTTTGTTTGCTTGGCACAGCCCAGTTCTTATACATTTCTTGTGGTTACTTCTTTTCTTTTCTGTGAAGGTACATATATAATATATGCAAGACCAGATTTGATTGGCTTATTCCATCTTTTCGTATTGCAGAGTTATCTGCTCTTGTGGGCAGGTATTGATTGTTACATCATTCGTTTGTGAGAGTAACGTCATCAATTTTTGAGAAAATGCATAATTTTCTCACACAAACCAATGATGCAACAAACAATACCTGCTTACAAGAGAAGATAACTCTGCAATACACAAAAACGGAATATAAAGGTCATCTACACATGATCAAGTATATGGATTGTCTGCAGATCCTGATACAACAGTAATGATGAGCCAAGTTTTAGTTAGATATCACTAATACTACCAATATTAAACTTAGTTCTGGTGACCTGATTTCTTAAGTTCTGATGACAACAATATTGGTGGTATATATTGGCACCATGCTTTCATCCCCCGCCCCAAATAAATTGTCCTAAGGGTATATGCAACCTTTCTATAAAATTTACCTTCTTTTACAAAGAGCTCCACACTAATAAATCTATAAATATCTTTAAGATTGGAATCTAACTTGGTTTTAATTACTGAAAATATGAGGACAGGGGGAATAACTCTTACACACGTGACAAAATCATATATTTATTAGATTTTTTCCCTTTAAATAATCTGTTTTTGTTTGCCACATTTCCAAGTATGTATTAAAGTACTAAAACTACACAATACTGCATAAAGAAATTTAGAGACAGAACATGTAAAATTGATACCGTAGAAATGAACAAATATTGTGACAGAAAGTTAACGATTATGAACATCTATGGTTAGGAAAACAAAAGTAAAATATTATGACCATATTTATGTGCCATGTTTTCAAGCTGCTAAGAAGTTTACAATCATTACGACACCAGATATGTAGCCTCAGGTCTAGATAACCTATTTCAGAATCTCATATCGCTAACAAATGCAATGTAAGCATTTTTTATCTTCACAGAAAAATACCGGTAATGTAAATAGCATTAAATTAAGTTAATCTCAAACCAAAATGTGTCACAGCAAACTTAAAATACAAGCTGCTACGTAAAATAATCTCTCATCAATTAGAATTTCAATTGAAGATGTTGAACATATATTCAAATCAATAAATAAGACTTCATAACAATTCTATATCTAATATACAGATATTATTATTGTTTTGATACACCTGAAGATCATAATGTACTTAATCAAATAGAAGCAATAGCGATCGAAGCTCAAACAAATCTTCTATACATGAGTTATATTCAATTTTGAACAACCAATTAAAATGTTGACCAATTAATGTTTAATTTACAATTAGAACACACACTCATAATACTGAACAGATAGCAGTGTAGATGATATTTATTACATATCGAGTAATTAAATAGTTAAAACCATACATATTTCAATTTAAATAAACCTATACATTGTTATTGACGGAAATTTGTGATAAACATGATGAAATGAACATGAATTTTTGGATGAAAAATGACCAGGTATGGAGTTGAAAATGTACTATAGGAATGGATCAATCATATTATCTGAATGCCTTCCATCCTCGATACCCAGGGGTTACGTCCCATTTTTTCCCTGTCTTGATGTCAGTTAAATCTAATTACAATCACAGAACATTTGACTTGTCTGGTTTCTTCGGTTTAAATCACAAGCTGACAATAGAGTATTTTCAAAAGAAAATGATCTTTTTTTCAATGATGAGATATGACATACTAAAATTGATAAATGAAAAGCATGATACCTTCATAACACGAGATTCTTTGATTCTTTAATTCCCCATCACAACTTCAAGCACCTTAGGTTTCAAATGAAAGGGAGGTAATTCAAACGAGGGGGAGGTAATTTGTTTTCTACTATAATCTCAATAATTAAGTACAGTCGAACCTCGTTATCTCGAAGTCAAGATTTATTATGAACAACATGGCAGGATGTCATACTTTTGCGTCTTAGTTGTATCAAACAATTATTAACTGACAAAATGAAATTCGAACACTATGCTGTAGACAAGGTTTTGATGTTGGATTTACACTATCGAAACCAATATCTTACTCCGAGGTATCAAGAGTTTTTCGACCTTTCAGAGTTTTATTTACTAAGATAAAGAAGAGGTTTGGCCGGGACCTGAGAACGACTTCCAGATAAACGGGGTCTTCGAGCTAAAAGAGTTTGAGATAACAAGCTTCGACTGTACATCACTTTTATCATGATTTCTAAAATGATGATTTTCATGAAGCTATAATCATTTTTTTAAATTACTATTGTCTGAATGGGAAAAATTCTTAGAATACATATCTTTAGGATTACCCACAAAATATACACTAAAGAAAAAATATGTACTAATAGAAAAAAAGTGTAAAAAAAATTGTTTACATGTGGCAATAATTAAATCATAGTTATTCCATTCAGAGAGTTATTCTCAAACATATTGACTTAGTCAGGCAGCAATTTGATATCTTGATCTAACTCTTTAAAACTGTTTGATCGGTTGTTATAAATCATACACATAAAAGTAAAGCTAGCCTACAAGCAAAAGTTGACCATGGAAATAAAATCGTCAACAAATTAATGAGATCTATTAACAGTAATGCAATGCCTAGTTGATTAAGGGAGGTATTATTTGTGGCAAACTGGCAATTGTAATTAAAAATTTAATCCTAGTAGTATCTTACACATCATTCCCTCCAAAATATATATATTCATACAGATTATGAATTAGCAATACTTAAAATGTATGTATTAAATTTTTAAATAATTTTTCCCAACATTCACAATTTTCATACAGTCTTCTCATTACTTCAGCACATATGTTGTTGTATTTCACACATATATACAAACTTGTAAAATAATTACATAATAGATATGTACTAATAATACACGTCCTACCAAACAACAATCTTAATTCCTACAAATAATGCAACAATTACGATTATTACAAACCCTATTTAAAAGAAAAAAACAGGTCACTCCAATTGTTCAGATTGAGTGTTGGTATATATACATAATTTACCTGTTCATGTTGCTCCTTTCGAGACAAATCAAACATGCATCATTTTAAAGTTACAAGACCAGTAATACTTATTCCTTCATGTTTATGACTAGTAATATGTGATTGTTAAATAATATAATGACTTGAAGATCTAAGATATAGGTTGGACGCAAGTTGCCCAAGACGTTTGGAATCAAACATAATTTAACCTCACTATACAGAAATTTGAGAGAAACATAGAAAGCAATATGCAATAAGCACATACTAATGTTGTTTTCATCTAAGATGAATAATATTTAATAATTTGAAGATCCTCTAGATTAAGATCGGACACAAGTTACCTCAGCCAAATGGAATCAAACCTTACTTCAGGATACAGTAAACAAATCGAGTACATTGGAGTTCAATGAAACCAAAATATCTAATATTAACCCTATTTTTTAAAGGAGTCTGTTGTGTACAGAAATAGAAAAGACAAATAAACAAATTTTAACTTAACTCATTCACCCCTGAAGAAACATTTTAACTCTTCCAATTCAAAAGTTAGAATAGTTCATTATGAAATTACAGGGGTGACCGAGTTAAAACGAGCAGGTGAAAAGTGATTCCATTATTTACATCTCAAATTATGCATGTATTTATTTACTGATAAAAGGCATGAAGTGATTGTATGAAAAGCTCCCCTCCCTCTTAAACCTACCTAAATTTCCCACAGCACTATTTGTACATATATTTACAACACGACAAACAAATGGTTACATTTCTTTTTCTCAAACACGATGATAAAGATATAATACACTTCTCAATCAAGATATAATACTTCACAACAGTGTACTAGTGTTTCTTTGATGGACGTATATAAAGCACTGTGACAGAGTTGTTCACAGAATATGTTGCTCAATTTAATTGATCTTGTATACAATTGTCATACAACTATTGACTGTTCACGACAAAAGATAGTCAACCTTCAGATAACGACATTTCAGGAGCTATAATCTACATGTAATGTGGCTTACACAATGATGTCAATATTTCATAAGATGGATTTGATGTATAATTAAGCGACATTTCCAGACACTTTATAGGAAGCGCTTATGAATTCTAAATAAGCCAATACGTAACGGTACAGAACGATTCCAAAGACAAAGTATATCTATAGGGTAGCTTATTCATTTATTAAAATTTCATCCCAGACCAGAGTTACAAATTTCTTGGTTTCTATTACAAGTCAGCAAAAAGTAATGTTTTTTAAGATGGCTAAACATATTCTTCCAAATAATTTCCCATAAATTGTTCCCAACAGGTTTTATCTTGGGTCAAAAATCAATTTCAAAAAAATAATCTTTAGCAGCATCACAAAAGGTACAGGAAACAAGTCAAATATTTTATTTGGTCTGGGCAATGTATATAAATGATCAGCTCCTTGTAATAGATTGATGTCTCGAATTCATCAACCAAAACATCGTTCTTTGTGGTCAGATAATTACATGTGTACCGATTGTCTCTGACTTTGGAAAAAAGTTGTGATCTAAATCATTTTCTGCCTGTAATGATATAAAATTGGAATGATTTCTAACAGTGCAACGCAAGACTTGTTAAGTAAAACTACGAGATGGAGGCGGCAAGACTTGTATTATATCAGTATCTGTTTGTTTGGTAATCCGTACATTAAATTTACTCTAAAACAAATCATACGAGGAAAGTGTGCTGGAGACATTCTCCAAGAGATTCATTATCAAATCACATTTGGCATCGATCGTGATAGCAGAACATAACAGAACTAACATAAGTACTGTATATAGAAACACATATATACCTTTTGTAAGAGGGTCTACAATTTCATATTTAGAGTACAAGAAATCAGGCAGATTCTCGAAAAATTACATATCTCATAGAAAATATTGGTGGTTTTTTTACTAACTCTTGACAAATAATTTACCTGTATCGCCAGTGGAATTGGACACCCCGGGTATATTTCACTAATACAACCGATACAGATCTCTGGTCGTAAAAAAGGTTTGAATTGTAATTATTTTTTGTTGTCTTGAAAGAAATTTAACGCTAGCAAAGGATAAAAGTAACATCAAATTTTGTTGTTAATTATGTACAGTAGGAAAATCTTGAATGACTTTCTGCCAATATGATTTATTCTAAAGTATTACTGGTCCCAGCTCCAAAATCATAGCTCAGTATCACAAAGCCCATAATTTTTCCTTAATTTATCTTTCGTGCATACTGAAAAGCCACAGATGGGAGATCTGATCTGATTTAAGGTCTATTCTTTGCATAATAGTAGAAAGTGAAGCATACCCCAAAATTAAAAACATGAAATATTAAAATTTGATCTCTTTATATACTGGTGGAGATATACCATGTAATATGAAAAGTTGTGCCTTCATAACGACGGAACAACCATTAAATGACCTTAGCTGTTGATAGGACGCTACACCCAATAAACCCGAATCCTTCACCGTGAAAGAGCCTGTCATTAGTGAGCAAGATTTTGAAGCTAGGTCGCAGTCACATTCACACTCGCACGACTTGAAGACCTCCTCTATCATAAAAACTGCATGATGATCGCCATAATGCCGGCACTGATACCGCCGGCCACTGGTAAAGTCACACACCAAGCAAGAACTATGTTCCTGAAAAGCTTGAAGTCTACGTTTTGTTTCGACCTGTAACGGCCCACACATACCACCGAGCCCACCTTACAATGCGTGGTACTGATTGGGATCCCGATGTTGGAGGCGATGAGCACAGTCAGGGCTGATCCAACTTCTATACAGAATCCACTGTAACACACGCAAGAACATCGTAAGATTCAAACAATAGGAACAACAAAAGAGAATATGACCTAGACAACCATATTAATATTATCTATCGGCTAATCTGTAATTTTAAAATCGTAATGGAGGATGGGAGACGCCTAAATAAATACAATGTGTTATTAGTGACAGGTTTAATCATGATCTGCCTACCATTACCTACATTAAAACAATGTCAATACTTTCTATAAGTTCCTGGTAATGCTTGATGTTCAACGGTGTGACAAGTCTGTTAGTTTGACAGACATAAAGTTTGAGGGAAATGATAATCCAAAATATTATTTGTGCCATTTTTTTCAAAAAAAAAAAGAAGCATTGTATGAAGAGCTAGTAGATGTTTGTCAACAATACTCGTGTGCCTGCTCCCAGTAGGGTGTGAATGAGCTAAAGTTCAAGTCTGTTAAACAGAAAATATAGGTCACAGTGACCTACATTTGATATATTTGTGTAGTAATTACTCAAGATGTATTCACTACTGTTGAAACTCTAAATGTGAGTTATGGAGGTAAACACAAACCAGTGAACAGTTGATGGACTTTGTGGCAGATAATGAAAAGAACAAAGCAAAATTCTCCCATTTATTGCAAAATAATGTGAAATCTTGAATCATTTATTTCTATACTCATTATCACAAAAAATACTTTTGATTCTGAAAGAAATTCATCAATTTTTTTTCAACCTTTAACAAAACATTTGGGAATTGAGAACGGAAGTCTTTTTACAGGATATATTTATCTGGTATAAATTTCATCTTTCCTTATTTTATTCTTGATATGTTACATCATTACAATGTTGACAACTTCATTTGACAGAAACATGTATAATAAATAGTCACTTATTCCGTGTTTTATTTACCTGCGAGTCATGAGTCAAATACTCAATTGCCTTCTATTTGACTCCTTGAACTTTTTAAAAATTCATAAATTTTACATAGGATGCTTTGCAGAACTTGACTTGTTTTGTGAAAAGAGTAGATAAAACACTGCTTATTATTCTATTATAGGAACATGGGAGACCTACAAAAAGCTTAATTACTGTTTTAACCCTTACACCACTGTAGACCTTGATGGACTCATCCATATCAATGCATGGTGGAGCCTACTAAAGTTGCATAGGGGTGACAGGGTTTAGGAATCATGTTATCTCACCTTGAAGGGGTGATCTTTGTAAGATCTTCTCCCATGGTTTTAATGACTCTCCTGCCCCACACCCACAGGCCGATACTGATCCCGATCCCGCCAAAGACGAGGATCCACAGTGGCGTCTCCGCCTTCTGAAGTGCGTTACCTTGGGTACCAATGATCCAGATACTAACGAGTGGACCTATTGCATTGCTGAAAGTACAAGTACAAGTTTTATTAGGTAACTAGAATTGTCCAAAGGTGGCTGGATAGTTCTGCTGTATAGCCTGCTCCATCCATTCTATTATGTAGTGCATTTGGATCAAGTGTTTTGGATAGCTGAACACTCATCAGATCATTCAAGTCGTTTAAAATTTACGTTCAATAAATGACGGAACATTTTCTGGGAACAAATCAAAGTAATGTATTCCACAATTATTCATTTTTGGCAACAAGTGTCAATCAGAAACCGTAAGGGAATTTCTGTTCAAAGTTTGAAGTTTTATTTCAAAAAATTGGCAAATAGGTCTCCACACAGATTTCAACATAAAATTAAGCAATTTACATCAATGAATTAAACAAAACTCTTGGACATGTTAAAAGGGTCTGGTAAGGAATACCAACCTGACATCGTTTCCTCCGTGAGCGAAGGAACCGAACACAGCTGTGAGAATTTGTAGGAACGAGAATAACTTGGCAGTTTTTGGTTCATCTTTCAGTAGTTCACGACCCTTCTCCTGAAGCACACACAAGTATTTTAGTTTTGTAACTTATTGCAGGTCAGTTCAACATTTCCTAACAAAACTAATCAAGCTGTCTTAAGCTTTTAACTTGAATGACATGTTGACAAATAATTTGATTAAAGGGAGAGCAAACACGTTTAAGGAAATCAAAAATATATCAATTACCTCCCTTTGACCACAGGCAGTACTCCTGTATACATATCGATCTGGGATCCAGAGCTACTCCAGATCTTTTGAGGGGGAAGGAAGGCACTTATTATAAATATCATATACATAATGTGATATTCGTAAGTTCGTAATATTTGTGAAGTGGTTAATTTCTTCATCTCCAGGGGATGAAAAATGTCAAAATATCATCAGAAATTTGTTTTTTTGGGACAAAAACAGCTACTAAATGCTTGTAAAAAAAGCAATTTAAAGGAAGATGTTGCAAACTGACGAAATCGTGTACCATGACTCATGAAATATGCCTATAATTGAGCATACTTACGAGGTCAGAGGTACTGGAATCTTTACTGCTACTTCCAGGACTACCATCAAAGTTGTCTGATGAAAAACAGCAGATCTGACTATCAGACTAATACATATATACATAATATCTTAACAGTTTTAAAATTGAAACCCATTAACTCATTCACCCCTGACTACACATTTGAACTTTTCCAATTCAAAGGCTGGAATAGTCCATTATGAAATATCAGGGGTGAATGAGTTAAGCTACCAGTGACGAGCAATATATTTTAACATCAAAGATAAGCCTTAAAATTACTAGTTTTACAAGTATATACATTCTTATTCTAACAGCAGAAGATAAAACTACTAGAATTACAAGTATATACATTCTTATTCTAACAGCAGAAGAAAAAACTACTAGTATTACACAAGATTTCACATGATTTTATCATCTAGCCTACAAACAGCAGTCTTTTTTAGTCTCCCGTTCCCTCTTTTTCTGGAATCCTTAAGGTCTCCCTCGTTTCCTCAATCCCTTTTATTTACGCCTTTTCTCATCTCATGTCTTTCTCTTTCATTCCCTCCTTAATTCCTCATTCTTTCTCTCTTCCTCATTTCCTTTCTATTTCTGTTCCCCTCTCCTGAATGACCCTTTCTTTACCCCTCTATTATTTTCCTGCTCAATGGCTGCAGGATTTTAATCTTTATTTCTTCATCTGTATTCCATCCTCATAATAATTACTTCTTCCACTTCAACCCCCCTTCCTGCTAGCTTTTGTACGTGAATCTAAATAGCCCCCCACCCCCCCGGTAAACCTGGAGGAATAACTTACCTTGCAGCAGCTTACGACTTGAGAATGTGGAGGTTGATTCCCTGTACAGCAGAGGAGTAACACTGCCTTGGGGCGAGGGACCTGAAACCACGCATACAGCATGTGTCATACAATTTGTTCAAGTGTGAACATACACATCAGTGATAAAGGTAGTGTCCCATCTCTATCTATTATGGTTATTAGGGTACATTTTTAGGTTGAAAAAGTTCAGACTTTCATGTTATTATGTTGAAATCCCCGAGTCACCTTACCACAAGAATAACTCTGAATAGAAAGTTTTCAATTCCATCCCAATCCACAACCAAAATAAAATATTTTTGATTAATTAACACTTTTGGTAAAAGGGATACTCCTGGAGGGGCCCCCCATGGGGCCATTGACCCCTCCATGTTCCAATCCAATTTTCTTTTAATTTTATATAGAATAGCTTCATTTTGATATGAAATTGCTGAAATGGCCCACTGCTCTCAAATTCCAGGATTTTCCCTGTGGTAATAGATTTTCTTTCACAACATTAGTTACTGCAAGAGGAAAACCAAATTAAAACTTGAAGATACATTGCGAAACGGGCTCAGGGAAATCACAAGAAGCAATCATTAGAAGACTGGAATACGTACCATTGCTCATGTCTTTCGAAGACCCGTTAGCTGTCATCAACACCGGTGTAATGGCCTTCGCATCGGCCAAGATTGCATCAATGTTTGTATCCTTCTCCTGGAAAATAAACGACAAGTGCTGAAATTATTATCTCCTATACGAGAACTCATTTCATCATAATAGTCCTTGTAACATTGTTCATGGCTGGAAAATCTTCACAATATAAAAGCATAGCAACATTTATCTAAAAGTCAGACGACATATTTTACATAGGCCGACAACATTTTGGCACTCCTTGCGATTTTGCACACAGCACTTATCTTGGAACAAGACAGTTCAGAAAGACATTCTCGTGACCTATTTAGAATACCATGAACCTTACTGAAATGAAATGAGATAAAAATATCAACATCTTAGGCACAACAAAAAGTATTTGGTGTTTCCGATAACCCTACCTACCCTTATTTTTTGTGTCTACTCTTAACTTTTTAAAGCAATTTTCAAAGAAGCACTGTTTAAATCAAGATAACATACCTATAAAATTATTTGTTGAAAAAAAAATTGTTACCTATCTACCTACCCTATAAAAAATCCAACATATTACAGAAAACACCTATTTTTTTGTCTGGCCTTACATTCATCATGGTTCATACTTACAATCAGTATGCCTGCTCCTTGAGAAATGTTCTCCTTCAGAGGCGTTTTTTCGCCATCTTTCTTGACTTCTGTAAAGTAGGATAGATATATGAAAATGATGCAAAGAATCATCAAAAATGATTATGGTAGAAAGTTTTAAAATATTTATCAAACATTAATTTCATGCATCACAAGGTTTGGTTTACTTTAATATATTGACTTGAAAGTAAGCCAGCAGGGATAAAATTCAGAAGGCACTTAACGATTTCAAAAGTAGACTTTATTTTGCTACTTACATAATATGTCTTCAATATTGCAAAGACACCTTTCAAACACTGATGATAATCAAACTTTCTGGTAAGAGCTTTTCCAGTGAAATATTTACATCTATCCCACCCAAGGACTCCAGAGTTTGTTTTAGAAACTAATATATAATTTGCATATCAGTAATAGGCAGGAAACCCAGCCATGGATAGAAGTAAATGTATTTTGTTCCTGCAGTTTTTACTTCTTTAGTCCTCAGTTAGTCCACTGAAAATGTTTTGCTTTTAAAAATCAAATCAAACCTTATTAGAAATTTTCAAATAAAACAGGTTTGAAAATATTCATCTTAAAATGATACCTGAAATAAACTGATTGGCATATTTTTTTTATTTTGGCTTTCTTTATAAATATATTTTTCTTTGAAAATTATACTGTACAATTCAATAGTATCTTTATCAAAACGAATAGCTCAAATCTACATATATATATATACAGACAACATTCATGCATATTCATGATCCCTACCGATATTTTCTTTGTTTTCAATATCAACATCTACATCAATGATGTTGGACTCTTCGACGTCTTTTGTAAGCATTTTTTGTTGTTCTTCGGGCGACAGTGCAGTCTCTACCGCTGAAATATCAAACAGAAGCCAGGGAGTGCTAGGGTGAACGTTCAGGGGCATGCAGGTAATGAAAACATCTCTGGTGCAAAAATGACCAAATAATGTTAGAACTGAATGAGAAATTCTTAGCCAAAGGACAGTCAAATACTGTTTTATTGTTATGGGAAAGAGTTGGGGTAGAGGGGTTAAATGTATCTAAATTTCATTAAGATTTCCACTAGTTTTAACTTATGATTTGTGGATCTTTTTACATGAACAGAAAGTCAGCAATTTTGCAGTGGGTTTTGCAGATCAAACAGTGTTGAAAGTTTAGACTAGACGAAGACTAAGCTTGAAACCTTAAAATACAATACTGAATATGTCTCCCCAAGTCTAAAAGACAATACTGAATACGTCTCCCCAAGTCTAAAATACAATACTGAATATGTCTCCCCAAGTCTAAAAGACAATACTGAATACGTCTCCCCAAGTCTAAAAGACAATACTGAATATGTCTCCCCAAGTCTAAAATACAATACTGAATATCTCCCCAAGTCTAAAAGACAATACTGAATACGTCTCCCCAAGTCTAAAAGACAATACTGAGTATATCTCCCCAAGTCTAAAAGACAATACTGAATACGTCTCCCCAAGTCTAAAAGACAATACTGAATATGTCTCCCCAAGTCTAAAAGACAAAACTGAATGTGTCTCCCCAAGTCTAAAAGACAATACTGAATACATCTCCCAAGTCAAAAAGACAATACTGAGTATGTCTCCCCAAGTCTAAAAGACAATACTGAATACGTCTCCCCAAGTCTAAAAGACAATACTGAATATGTCTCCCCAAGTCTAAAAGACAATACTGAATACGTCTCCCCAAGTCTAAAAGACAATACTGAGTATGTCTCCCCAAGTCTAAAAGACAAAACTGAATGTGTCTCCCCAAGTCTAAAAGACAAAACTGAATGTGTCTCCCCAAGTCTAAAAGACAAAATTACTCATAACTTAACAGCTGACAAGCAATCAATATAGTAAGTACACAGGTGCTTGGATCAATTAGCTCCTTCGGCTGATAAAAATCTCAGACTAGGGTCATTTATTTAGTACTACATGGAAAATGATAATCACTTAAGATTGTTTGTGCTTTGGTAGGAGCAGTAGCTTTGCTTAAATCAGAATATTATTTTAGGTGGAGGAACCAACCTAGGCTGGCTATCAGCCCCTAAGTTTTTATGAAGCATTTCTCATCTGCATTACCACTAGCTTATCTCCCCCTAGTTTAGAACTTCGGGTCTCTAGAATCAGACATCCAAGTGATAAAAGTTACCAGAGTTAAATCTTTTCTAAATAATTCATGATCTAGAGACTGGGGCCAGTCTGGGACCAACCTAAAGCACTTGTGGGAAGATCAATATTCAATAATTGTTGAACGTGGCCTTGAACACGACAGAACAACCTAGATAGGCTGAAACATTTATTTTAAATCTCTTGAATTTTAATGCACCAGAAGTTTTCAGACTAAATAGAGGACACACAACATAAATAAATGGATTGATAATACAGGTCTCTATCATCATAAAAGCGGAACATTTCTCGACACTTCATACACAAGAATTTCCAATGATTTACACAGCAAATTGTTGTGTTTTTTTTGCTGACATTTTTCTTTTTTATTTAATGACTTAATATTTTCAAGAAATCAAAGTGACCAAACATACAATAACTATCCCGGAGAAAACAGTTTCTAAGATCCCAATAATCAGGTATTGTTTCAGGGGAAGAATTTGTATATGTCCTAAAGGCGATTGCCCTGACTTTTCCTCAAAAGTTCACAGACCGAACACCTGAATTTCATTTACATTTTTCAAATCAAGAAAAAGCTTAACTATAAACTACTAATTATGCAAAAACAAGTTGGAAGTTGATCCTGATACTCAAGAGCACAAAACAAGAACACACAATACAGACTTCAATGAATGATAAAAACACAGGTTACACTGACAACAAATTTAAAACACATTTACAAAACAGAACCAGTACTGATCAACATATAAACAAAAATGTCTCAATTTTGTTGTGATGAAAGTGAAAAACAACGCTCCTACCCAGAAAAATCAGTGGAAAGAAAATTCTTTTGACGAAGACTGGAGAAATGACACGATATTACTCTCCATAGCCAGGAGCGTGAAATAGACTTATGTGTGTGTGTGTGATTAAGCAGGATAAGTGTATTGCAGTTTAAAGCTTATTATTTTCTTACCTTTTTCCAAAATGATACTTCCACCTTGACTTTGTCCTTCTTCTACATCTATCCATTTCCCTACAATTAGAAAGTTTAAGCTATGAGTAAAAACATTACTTTCATGGTTAAAAACATTATTCTTATGGGAATAAACATCATTTTCATGGGTACAAAAAATACTTTCATGGTTAAAAACATTATTTTCATTGGTACAAACATTATTCTTATGGGAATAAACATTATTTTCATGGGTACAAAAAATACTTTCATGGGTAAAAACATTCTCAGGGCACAAACATTGTTCTCGTTAAACCAAACACTGTTCTCATGGGTATAAACTCATTCTGTCAGATAAAATACTATTCTTAGTGACACAAACATTACTTTTGTAAGTATTTGTTTTTATTTTCTTTAACATCCTTTCATCAATCCTAAATTCTAAACAATTTGAAGGGAATAACAACTGCAAACCAGAGTACAAATATAAATGTACTTTACGCCAAAGATCTATCATAAAATAATGCTACTGACAGGCAGGGATAATCCTGGAGGGGGCCATGTGACCGTTAACCCCATCAAAACTTAAATTGACCCGTCCCTGTTCCAATATTCCATTAATTGTACAATGAATGGCCCCTCTTAACTTTGATATTGATTAAAAAATGGCCCACAGGCACTATGAAATTCCAGGATTTTCCCTCGACAGGCAATGGTGGATATATAGGAGGTAGGTAGGTACTTACCTTTTTTGAACCTCGGTACAAAAACGAAGTAAATAATCAGCGCGACAATCACAGCCAGTCCAAACGTCAGGATAAGTACGCCGTAGAGAGGGATCTTATCAAACATGAGGACTGCAACAAAACCGACAAATTAAACCACTCTGTTATCAGTGTCCATCCGAAAACTCAACACTGCAAACTCCACACATCAAATTAGTCCCCACGCTAGTCATTAGTCACCTGCCACCATTAATTAGTCTGACACTTTAAATAAGTTCTAAACAAGGGTAATTAATCCACACATTGGGGACACTGGGTGGTCCTTAACCGTTAGTCATCAATCTTATAATCGGACGTTCATTTCCTGTATATATGTTAGATTTTCTGGATTGTTCGAGGTATATATTAAGTGGTATATATTAAGTTATCATAAAACTGAAAAAATACATCAACATGTTTCACCTAATCAAAGATTTACTACTTTAATTTGATGCTTTTTATCAAGTTTCAATTTGTAGTTAACCCTAAAAAGTAGTGAGCAAAGTTTGGACGATTTAAGATTATAGCTGAAAATTACATGAAAACACCCAAAACAAGCAGCTTTTAATGATCTAACAGTGTAAAAGATTGGCGATTGTTTGATGGTTTCAGATTTTCCAATCAAACCAATATTCATTTGTCAAAAGATTCGCAAACTTCTGAATGGATTTCGTACTGATAACGTCGAAGCATTCAAACAATAACCCTGTTGGTGGTGAAGACTTACGACTTGATCCCTGGTAGAATACGGAAAATGCATTGACAGCCGTCGTAAAAGCATAGAATATTGGCAACAGCTTGAGTCCAGCGGCAAATGGATCATCCTGAAAAAAAGATGCCCGATTGTTTTGTTAATTCAAATTATATTGTTAAGTATTAGCTATACAAAATTCTTTAATACATTAATTGTGGTCGACTGTGTGATTAAACATTAACTTAAAAATTCAGCATGTGAGAGAGACAGATAAAGTTTTAGAAATGTGGTAGAGAATTCCATTGAATTTGTTGTACTCCAGGTTAACGCGACTTTACAAAACCTTTTGACCCTGGCTTAAAAAAGAGAGAGAGAGAAATGATAGAAGTTGGAAACCTAATCGTACTGTTTTGGTCTGTAATATTTGTAGTGTATAAAGTAACTCGATGTTTTAACCTAAGCTATGAAATATAAGAAATTTCAACAATTCCTTTTTTTCAGCCACCAGTGGGGTGACCAACTTCATCCCAGCAAGCTAGGGGCCAAATGGTAGCACTCTTGGTCTTGATCAGGTTCTTCAGACAAAATTTTGTAAAGAAAAATTTGAACACTCACCAAGCCATAACAGGCTTCCAGTGGAAATGGCATATACTTACCTTAGCTGAGGCTGTATCAGGGACAGTACTGCTGTCAATACTTTGGAAACAAGACTTACCCAAGAAAACAGCTGTGTAGGCCCATGCTTACACGTACTTCTAGCCAGGTAAAAAATGCCCAATCTGTCGCATTTCCTTAAAACTCTCTTTTAAACAGGGTAATAACCTCTCCTATATAGGACCCTTACCTTCTGACAAAGAGAAAATTTATTCTCACCCGTTTCAATACGAGCTTCGTGAGGATCCAAAATGAGAACACGGTGATAATGCCGGACATGATGGGCGAGATAAACCACGATCCCACTGTAAAACAAACAAGTTTCAATCAGTTACAATTTTGTTTGTCATTTCCATAATACTCAAATATCAGCGTTCCGACCGAATTTTAGATTTGGCGGCATATTTGAAACATTTTCAAGATTCTGTACCCCTAGGTCCTCAATTACACGGGGCACTCGATCAATTGCTGAAAACTGCGGATACAGTACAAGTACAATCAACTGTTTTGAGGGTTTCTGGCCGAATACTGTCAATATAATGCAATTTACTGACAATTTGTTAGCTCTTTCCTTATGGTTGCTCTTTACTTTATATTTACTGGATTTTAGACGAGAAATTGATTACAAATATTACAGTACACTTACCAATAAGTCCAATCTTCTGCCAGTTGATGCCCTTGATGCCGTGGGCCACGAGTGCGAATCCCACAGTGGCTCCAACGATACTGTGTGTTGTAGATACAGGAAGTTTAAGTATTGTGGCAGCCATCAACCACACACACGACCCTGAAAAGTTGAAAATAAGTCTCAATTTCTTGCAAAATACAAAAGATAGGCTTCCTACTGCTCAACCTTGGTGGTTTTTTTACCCTTTTAAGCTAGGGGAAACGGCCTGTATTCGGCTGTAAATTCATAACTTTTTTTTTATCAAAATAAGGTTTACTCACTTTTTTTTGTAATGCAGTTTAGAAACAGCTTCAATGTATAATCTTTACAAAAATAGTTTTCATTTTTTTTTTAACTTGCTCAGTATTTCCAAATACCAACAGAAATTAAAAGTTTGAAATATATCACAAGAATGAAGACAGCTGCTTCTCTTCGACATCTATAGCAATAAATTAATAACAAAATTTTATCATAAACATAATGTTAGTTTTTAATTAAACACCTACCTGATAAAGCAGCAACATTTCCTGCCAAGAGTAGGGTCTCAGACCCATTGTTGTACAGCGTAACATCTATAATACCCTTACGTATCGTATCCGACACACGGTAACCTGCACAGAACAAGTCAACATTTTACCTCATATTATAAATGTACTGGACAATCAAGTTTTGTTTTTTCCTTCACAGCTAAAGTTATTGAAATAACAATGTAATTTGATGGTTAACATTAGACACTTGAATTAGATTTAACGTCAACTGGCCAACATTAAAAATCTCCAAGGTACAGGTACTATAAATTACCATCTTTAAAAAGAAATATGAGGGGGAAATGGTTTTAGGTTTCTAAAGCAATTTAAACGGATCATCGATGTTGTCAAAATAATGTGTATTTTTAATAGAGCTGGCACCTGACAATTTATCACTGAATACGCCGCCGTTTGTGAATTGTGACCCAGCTTGTTTTTCTCTACTTCCATTTTGACCCGAGAAGTCTTGGAATGTCAATGTAAATAGTCTCACTTTTTCTGCAACTCAAAATATTTCAATAAATGCTATCATCATTTTGATGTGCGTTTATGTATAATTTATGTAGCAGACTGACAAGTATTCTTTTTAATTCAAAGTAGACAAAGGCCACCAGGGATTGATGCTTACAACATGAACATGACTGGGGCCAGTGGCTAAAATCCAAGTTTGATGAACATTAACTCACCTATTAGGATGGCTCCAGCAATTTCAAATATTGTTCCCAGGATACATGCTTGTCGAAGGGTAAGCACCTTAGCACCCACAGATGTCCCAAACGAATTTGCGACATCATTTGCTCCTATTCCAAACGCCAATACAAAGGCGATAATAAACCCTACTATCACAAACGGCAATGCATCTTCACCGACGAGCATTCTTTAAAGAAAGAAGGCTCAGATCTGACAATGGAAAAGTACCTGAAAAGGAAAACTTCGCGTTAAAATTTTATCTAGAAAAAAAGGGTTGAAAACAATTGGGCCATCTTTTAAAAAAAATGCTTTGCTTGCAAAATTATTTTTGCTGAAATGATCACTGAAAGTTAGCAATTGTTTTACAATAGAAAATATGAGGTTTCTAGAAACAAACAAAAAAGAAATGCAAACAGATAACTTTTTAAAGGATGGCCATTTGCTGGGTTTCAATATAAAAATAAGTTAGTACAACAGTAAGTACCTAAATCACAAGAGCCTGCTATAACACAGTTCAATTTACATCATATAAATTGTAGCTTACCAAGCAAAGAATGAAAAAGATACTTCAACGCAGCTTACAGAAAACAATGTGGACATGTACGGACAGAGACTGGTGTATAGAGGTAGTGTAACTTCCTCCTTACATCCGTCAACCTTACCTAGCATAATAAGACTTCACACGACTTAGGGCCCGGCCCCTACCGACAAGATCAATTGACCTTATAACAACAACAAATCTATATGGACATATACCTGTGTAAATTCACATGGGAACATATCGTATATAGTTATGATGCCTGTAACTTTCTATCAACAAATCTTGTACTTTTTAAATGAATGTCATTGTGTCAATCTCAACCTTTTTCCTTCTCAAATATTGACCAGTATCTTTAAATTGAATTGTATATATATTATATAGGGCAGTGACGAGCCCATGTGTACATGTTCAGGCCAAACAAAAAAACATGCACATGTATGTATCCTGTACACTGTACATGTCTGAAAAAATTAGGGAAGGTAGCTATAGGAAGAAAGGTAATTTATTTTACTTTTTAACTATTTTTGACAAGGTCAATATAGGTGAGTGATCTTGACTTAACAGGGCTTCCTTTGAACATTGACATAGAAAGATTAGGGTAGGAAAAAGGTAGGTTGGGTAACTGGAAACACAATATTTTTTTTGCTTCATATATATGTTATTTAAGAGATTGTTTCGATGTTATGTGAACGCAGATGTCAAAATTTACATGACAAATATAAAATGGTGTCATAACCTATGTCTTATAAGCATACGAGAATTTATGGTACTTGTTACCTTATTATTAAATAATATATGAATGCTATAAAAATTTCTACCCAGATTCAACATAAAAGCAAACAAAGGCAGTGTTAGTATAACGATTAACAGTAGACTATATATACACTTGTCTTTTTTACCATTCAACATAAATCGACATATTTTTAGGCGTCTTTGTCTTTGACAAAAAAAAAAAAAAATCAATAAATATCGTAATATATCCTCAAAAAAAAAATTTAAAAAAATCCACACACTATGACCAGGTCTTGCTGTTGGAAGTAGTACTTTTTTTATTAAAATTACCAGTAGTTTACAAAAGTTAGCTTACAAAATGAAACCCTCGTATACATCACAAGTTGTGGTAACTTTCATATTACACTACAAGCTGATCAGCATGTTTATACGTTTTCTGCACATGCGCGCACTATCGGAAGTAATGCATACACATTATTTTCGCAGACTCGTAATTCATAGATTTGCAAGCTTGACACCAGAGGACATTACAATATGCTTCAAACCAACGCAATCTTGTGTAATCACACATGAAAATCATGTGCAACACTAGCCTTGCTAAAGTCATTTCATCAACTGTACGACATGAACGAAAGTTCCTGAGAAGAAATACAGCCGAGAGAAAACAAAATGGTAATAATGATGTTTCAATATTTGTGAACATATGTATACAGTACGTAACAAAAAGATAAAAAGTCATCCCCTATCAGTTAAAATATAACAAATGTCTGGGATAGTGTAATATTACATTCCTTTCCTTTTTTGTGACCATTGATGACAGTCAGTTACCTATTTAGACAGCTGGTACCCAGGTAAACATTCCTATAAAATCTGCACTGTATTTGGGTACTCAGAGATAATCATGACTGCCCTTCTTCGAGTATTTTCTATAGTATTTACAGTTATTTTTTAAGGGTGAATTTAGGGCACTATAAGGTCCCTTCCACTAGATAATTCCTGCAGTCTTTTCCCCCCAATATCCTTGCAAAAATCACTTCATTGTCACAAAGTCTAGCTTTTTTTCTACCTAAATTTTACAACAGCCTATTTCTACATGAATTGGGAAAATAGGGCCTTCTTTTGATCAATAGAGGCAGGAAAGTCCTAAATTTTTCTTCACTCTGGGAAAATAAAGCACTTTTTAAAAAGCACTTATTTGCTAGAGGAAGCTGCCTATATTCGCGTGTAAAACTGGGCAAAAAGAAATGTCACTTTCCCAATGTCACATTAGGCAAAGGTCTATGTGAAAAAGAGGTAGAAAAATGAGTAATTATCAATAATTACCCTCTTATCTCTGTTCTTCTCAAACCTGGTGTTTTCTTTGCTCTCTTCAACAGTTATTTAAAACTGTTAACTTTCCAAACCTGCAAAGATACAAAAAAAAAAACCCATCACTGTTATGCACTTTAAACAATTGTGAAGAAACCAGATTAATCCAAGTCTGCTGCACACAAAATACTGTATGATATTGGCTACTAGGCTTATACAGGTGTTCAGTACATGTATATATTGCTCTTTGGGGTACAAGCAGATGCCTAGGATAATAATCCCCAAAAATCAATTTAACTGAAAAGTAATATGAAATACATCACAAAATAATTATTATTTAAAACTTTAATTTGCATTTGACAAAGTTGATATTGTTTCATTAGTTGGGTTTAATATGGTGCTGGGGTATTTTTTGGTAGAAATTTTCACCTTCATTGTTTCAGGCCAAAAAGTATGTTGCAGATTCCCTATACAAGATCTAGCTTTATTTTTTCCCTATTTGATTACTTTTAGTTTTTATGATTTACTTAAAAAGATAAATATAAACAGTTTGGAATTTATCTAAAATATCATGTGCTTATGTTGTTATTTTCTTAATTATTGTTAAAAAATTAATTAAATCCAGAGACTGAATATAAATACATTTTCGAGACTGCATGGTATCTATATCAGACTAAACTATCGTAAAACAATTATTATAAACTGTGGACACATTCAAGATTAACAAGAATTTTATGCGAAGCAATATTTTTGGTCCTCCTTCCTTTTGATTAATAGTGGGTCCAAAAAAATAAAACCGAATCAAAAACATTTGAAACTTCAACGTCATTTATAGTGTTTTTTTATATAGAAATTTGATTTTTAAACAAAACATTTCTGAAGAACTGAAAAAATGTGAGTAGATAAACTGCGTTACTTTTAAACAGTTTTTTCATGATCCAGAGAGATAGGCAGGCAGGCAGGAGAGAATGTTAAAGCTTTCCAAAATCATCATTTTTTTTTAAATAATGCAAGTCAAAACCAATTCAAACAAAAGAAAATACTGAAACTGAGTATACTACAATAAGCTTTGCCTATCAAAAACTTGTAACTTATTCTTGCACTAAAATGTACATGTAACGTTACGTAAAGTCTAGTGAAAGCTCAACCTAAATGTAAAAAAAACACGAGCACAATTTTTTAGGATGTATGCAGACACCTAGAAAATATTCCTTTCGTATTGATAGCCACTTTTAGCCTGATTTAAACTTAATTTTTCTTCTGTCTCGACAACACGTTTTCCCACGTTTTTGTCTAGTACTGCCAAATCTTTTAATTTAACATCGTATTATGCTGTCTTGAAATTAATTGCTATTGTATAAATTATCTATGCCCAAATTCAATAATGTTCTTTCAATTTGTGTATACATTTCATTGTGAATATTTTTAAACAATTTATCTACTTAATTTACATACAACAACCAAACATACCCTCTAAAGTGCCTAAAACCTCGGCATGAAGGGGGGGAGCGCAAATTTGATACGAAACAGCTTACAAATTTCCCCCTTCCCGTGGGAAAAACAATATTTCAGTAACGTTTTTCAATGAAAATCCTTCCTAACATTATATTTTACACGTTTGTGTACGAATCTACCCTCAATTTAACACTACACCTGAAATCGGTTGAAATAACGTACTCCTGTAGACAACAACGTCCCGTTCCTTTCTTGTGTTTACGTTTAATAATAGCGCCAAAATTCGCGCGCAATGAGTTTGACGTAACTTCCTATATCATTTCTACACTCATGATCAGATTGTCGTTCAAGGATTTTGTTCGAACAAAGCATTTTGAAGGTGACATAGGCTCTGGTCACATTTTATCACCATTTTAAAGAAAATTCGACATGTTAATGGCTGTGTAGCGCTGGTTAGCGAAATATAGTGATATAGGCAACCGAACATTTCGCTCAGCTTCTGGTTTCGCTGAAACGTGATTCAGCCAATCAAAATTGAGCTATCTTTTCCTACACTCGTGTAATGGCACATGTACATACATGGCTACAACGTCCAACGTTATTCAACGTTTTCTTGCAAGTAAATGCGATTAATAAATCTTTTACGAACGTTAGCCTATATAATAAGGATAAAAAAACATTGAACGACGTGTCTGTATTATATATTCGAGATGAATCGAGTCATGTTACATGTAATATGCCTTGGTGCTTTAAGTTTTTTTGTAAACCGTCAATTATCTTGACTTTCGAGTGACATCTTGACATGTTGAATAAGGCAGTACTCCAAATGCTATGACTTTAACAAAAAAGTTCCCGTATCGTCCAAATGTAAAAAGATATTTGATATATCTGACTTCCTTTTCACTGATGTCCAAACTTGGTGTATGCATACATGTACATGTATATCAAGTGTGTGAACACATTTAGCTAATCAGTATGCTGTCCCTTTACTTATAAATATACGAGATAATACGAAATGTTTTCGTCAGTCACTTCACCGACAGCGGAACAATTGATTTTATTGAAACAATCCTTACAATATGAGATTACTAGTACAAGGTGTACCACGTGGTCCGGTCATTTCACGTACGTATATCTAGCGTTATACAAAGACTTTCAATTATAGTATAACCTCAATCAGCTTCACATATATGTGGTAATAAAACGTCTTCTATTTCTAACATATAACAGTCATTGTAATCATTCAAAATCATATAACTTACCCGTACAAGCTATTATATATTCCTGTTGTTAAGCCTCGTCCATTGCTGTGTTAGCTAAGCGCATGCGCGTAATTAACAGTTGTACAAATATGCATACAGGCTATGGGGATGACATAAAAACATCATTATAACACTCTTAGCAATTACAGGACCCCATTCATATTAAAACCAAATTCATAAGACAGAATATCATTAATATATACAAACGAGACACTTACAGAGACCTCTGACTCATATGTCTAAGTATAGTCAGCTTGAATTTGTTGAATCGATATTTGAAATATAATGTCATTCTTCTGCATTATTTCGGTGTATTTTGGCTTATTTGTTAATATTTTACAACATAAGGTGTATCATGTACCGACAAACTATACGTATCAAAGGCGTGTATATCTCATCTTTATTTCCTCCAAATTGGAGAGCATGATACAATGATAGTACATGATTAATACATTATTTACAAAATGACAACAATCGTACATATATAACACAGGTAAAATACGATCAATTTGAAGGTTTGATCTATTGATTTCTAAAATTTACCTGAGAACAGCTGGCTTAGTTGTCATCTCTTGTATGTGTTCGGTAGTTTTCAGTTTAAAACACTGGTGTTTTTAATAGTCATTGAGAAATACCACGGAATTAGATGTCTCGAATAAGGAGTGGTATATTTATATGAAATGTTAATACGAAGGTCATTGGATTCTTCGTCAATACTTTAGTGTATTTCGTGGCCCACGCACGGTTCACTTATGATCAGGGACCGGGTTTTTTCAAAGCATTGACAGCTTAACGAGTATAGCCAGGTGAGATTTAAATTAAACTTGAAAATTCTTTTACTTAGTACTGTGTAATATTTTTCAATTTCTTTTTTTTTCGAATTCATCGTCATTTTATTTTAAATCGCATGACAGACAGTTTTGACGACGATTGGCATGGTTTTATGCAGCCTGTGTGCAGATTGATAATGTCGCTAACAGCTTGTTATTGGTCGATACTACCACGTGCTCGGAGTTGACTTCGACTTATCTTATATCATGATACTATACTTAAGATTTTGTTTTGTTTTTTGTTTTGTTTTAAGCCTCTCATAACAATAACAATTCAATTTCAAGGTGACTTTTTACATAGATATGCTAATCAAATTGTATTTTTATTGTTTAACTTGTTGAATATCGCGATCGGATTTCCCAATATTTAATAATAAAAATTATGACACAACACTTTATAATTAATCTATTTATGAAACAATTCAGTTCAGGCCGAAACTTCTGAGGGATTGCAGAAAATGCTAGATACATTATTACTTTATACAAATAAATGGAATCTTACGGTTAATACTTCTAAAACCAAGGTGATGGTTTTCGGTAACGGAGGTAAATTAAGAGAAAAAAAGATAGGTGGTACTTTGATGGAGGTGTTTTTTGATATTGTAGATGAATTTAATTACCTGGGTATATTAATGAATTTTTATGGTAAATTCAAAAAAACGGGTTTATATGTAAACAAAAGTACAATGTAAACAAAAGTACAATGTACACGACTTCAGTTATCTTAGATCTAAACGTGTTAATTTATATAAGATAAGATATATTTTATAAAAGTGTCGCACATTTGAATGTATAAAAAATACACATTCAAATATAATAATTCAAATGCACAGCCTTAAAAGATTTACGAAACACTATAATTAAAAGCCGTTACAATTCATTGCTCACACGCATCTAGATACACGAAGCAGGCATATTTCCCCCTGAACTTACGACAAGGTATACGTAAATCTTGAGTCTTCGTACGCCCTTAAGTATGTCTTAACTCTCGTCACAGTATAGAGCGGTGTAACAAGACAGACCTCTGGGTTTATCCTTGGTGAGGGGAATCTAGTATGGCATAGCCATATCATAGTTGATTCGGAAATTATCAGTTTTAAATAATTTAATATTGAAACAAAAAATATTATATTTTGTAGAAAATACACATGTGCATACGCCTCCGCTCCCGGCTTGGTGAAAATATATCTAAATATACACGCCGTGGTTGAAGGTAGTGAATAATTAGCCCACATAAAGGTCAGACAGGTTCACAGATTTAAATATATTCCGTCCTCATTATAACAATACACGACAGTAGTGTCATCACTGGCCATGGGTGTGTGTATAACAGGGACTCATTGTCGACCTCACTAACATTCAAAACAAAAGTGGCAGGCTGACTGCGAAAACTTTGAAACTCTGAAATGGCGTGTGTTTTTGGAGAAAACGGAGTTCGTTTCCGCGGGAGGAGAATACATTTTACGTGCATATAGGAGGTTTTTAAAAGAAAAAATATCCATCTTTCCAACGGTACTAAACATTTTCCCGTAGAACAACTAGAAATGT